AGTTCATTTTCAGGGATTTTTCACATGATTCATTGTCTTTGATATCTTGTTTTGGTCTGCCTTTATAAAACTACTGGGTGCGTCTACCCCCCTCCCAGTCGAGAACAGTGTTGCTACTTTGTAGGCTAATCCACTAAAATTCAGAGGTAAATTGTGTACTTTTCCTCCACTACATGTATTTAATACCTTTAGTTACTTTACAGACCTGGATGAATGATGTGAAATATAATCAAGTGTTAAATCAGACTTTAGTTCCACCTGGAGTAAATCCACAAGCTACCCTTCAGTATACAAAGTCATTCAAACTAGCTGCACCTTTACCAGCTTTGAGAACACTTTAATGATCAATCATTATAAAACACATCATATATATTATTCTGAAATGGACCAATCTGCACAATGACTACTTTGCTTTTGGTACTCTAACTATATTTTAATGCTACCACTTTGCTACTTTTACTTGAGTAACATTTTTGAATGCAGGACTTGTAACAGAGTATTCCTACACTCTGGTACTTCTACTTTTACTTAGTACAAAATCTGAGTACTTTTTACACCTCAGATCTTTTTATTTTGATGGCGTTCTATAGTAGTACAGTCAATTGTTTCCCTTACCTGTAGGCAGGGCCAATTTGTCAAAGGTTTTTGTACTATGTATTTATCACATATTCATTATCAAACATTTATTGGCAAGTGGACCATCTAATTACAATATAAGCGGAAATAACTCCACCTTTCTTGGTACACCCACTCCTTAATATGTAATGGTTTATCTAAATAAAATCTCTCCGTCAGTAAAGGCTGTCCTCTTTGATCATTCATAATGATTCTCTGTAACTGCAGTTTAACTTCTACCCATTTCAATAAGCCATTCCATCATTTGAATGTTCGTTTTTACTTTTCTAGTAAGCAATAATGTTCATTTATCATTAAATTGTTCCTTTTGTGTGATATCCTGCATTATATCCATCTACAGAATTCTGTATTAACTTAACTTGTTCATAAAATGTACCAAACGCCTTCCTTTTTATATAGTGTCTATAATACTCCAAGAATTCCTGGTGACAACAATCATTTTTGTGTTGACTTTATCCTGCTTTAAAAAATAGTTTTAACTGAATACATTTGCAACAACAGCTTGAACTTTGATCAAAGAAAGGGAAAAGTAAAAGTAAAGTAGTCTATGAAGTCATTTCTGTAAATTCTGCCAATAAATGTAGCAAAACAAAAATTTCAATTGGCTTTTCAACTAAGTTATTACCCATTACAGGAGGCAAGTAAAATATAGTAAAACTTTCAATAAATTATGGCTTTTAAAAAAAAAAACTTTTGGAAATGTCAAACAAACGGATGCTTTTTGAATAGAAACAGCCTCAATATATCCAGACGTTTTCTCATATCATCAGTTGTCCATTAGAACTATGTTTGAGCCTTCTCAGTGTGCTGTTGTGTTTCAGGGTCCGAGTCAGAGTCTGAATCTTCTGCTTCTTTCTCCTGATGATCTGCTCCGTCCTTGTCCACAGCCACCGCTCCCTTCCTCTGGGGCAGCACGGTGAAGAAGGCCTCCTTCCAGCTGCCCTTCTCCAGGTACGCCAGGATGATCTCACACACTGGACGAGGACAAAATCACACTATAAAACCAAATATATGCAGTGAGAGCAGGAGAGGAAAAGCAGGAATTAGCTAACCTCATCGCAAAGAAGAACCATAGAGTGGTCTATTGATCTCTTTCACGACTGCGACACCATCGCTGCAGGTTTCTAAAACAATGTGACCTTGACTTCAGATAGGAGTACATCAAAAGTAGCATCTTATTACGAGCCGACAGTCAGTGAAGTCAATTGAAATGACAAGTGTCACCGGCAGATTTAATCAGCAGTAGCTAGCCAAGTAATTAGCATTAGCTCCCTGAAAGCTGACTTTTGAAAGGCAAGATGTACAGGGGTTTTAAATATGCACTTGTGGATAACTTTGCAAGGTGTAATGATGTAAAACAGACTGAAGTTCAAGCCAAAAAACAACATGAAATCTAGCATAAGAGCCTTATAATTCATTTTGGCTTCTGTTATTCGCAGGGTAAGACTGTTATAACTGTTTTTTTAATAACGGTTAGTGAGCCGGATCATTTGGCTCGGCTCTCTTAAAGCGCCGGCTGTTTCGGCTCCCAAACTGCTCTTCATGTTACCACAGTTTACCACGGAGCCTCAGTTTCGCTAAGTTTTCCGCCGCTGCGAGGCTCTGTGCGCCGCATTCACCGCGTGCTCCACTAGCAACCGCTCATCGCGTCCAATCGCGCACGTTCCGTGTCTTCCTGTAAATAGGCACTGCCGATTCCGTCACGGGAACACGCTTTGCTGGCTGCGAAAAGAATCCCACCAGACTCCTTTGCCCCTCCAACAGAGGGACGTCCTTGTCCTTTTCGTCATTTCAAGCGATAAAAACTCTCGATCTTCTCTCGAATTTTTTTTTTTTTTGGAAAATCATCATGTCTTTTGATTGATCTGATCATTGGTCCATGTGCACCACTGTCACCATGTGTGCTGTGTCTGAATCTCATACTTCCCTCGCTACACCGCATGTCGTGAATACTTAGGCAATGCGTGGATTTTGACGGTGTACTACATTACATTTCCTTTTGGCTGAACAACAAGGAAAGTTCAGATATATTCACTTCAAGCAAGTCATACCATCGTAAGTGCTAGTGAATTAGTTACAAGGCCTAAATTACAAATATTTATTTTTCAATAATTTCATTACCATAGTACAATCGAAACAGAAGTGTTTTCAGTTTGGGACGGTGTAGTGTAGTGATGTCTTTAACTGCACACGGCTCCTGTGCCCTCACTGGAAATGACAATGTGCGCTGTTAGCGAGCTAGTTAGCTAGCAAAGAACATAACAGTTAAGAAATCCAGATTTAAATCTACAGTTCCGGCCACGGACAATTATTGATGGATAATATTGCAACTAACTAAAACTGGTCCCTTGTGAAGCGGCTTCAACCTACTGATACCAGACTCATATATTGGTCTCATTGTAGTCCTTACCATGGTTGACTGCCAGAACCTTCCGACTGTTCATCTTCACAAAGCTGCTGAGAGGAAGCTGAGCGTGATCGATCCCCAGCTCCTTGGCCTTCTCAAAGGTGATCCCCTGCAAACAGCAGACAGCTCCCATCATCAGAAAGCAGGAACATAACCAGTGGGGTATTGGAGCAGTGAACTCAGACAGACCTTATGGTGGTTGTGGTCCACCAGCCCTCCTATCACATAAGCCTTTGTAGGGTCCATCTCTTCCAGGATGTTAGGAGAATCTGACGTCAGGTACACCAGCTCCTCCTTCGCCACAACGTCCTTGTAGTGCTCTGATTTAATGGTAATTTCCTGCACATATACACAGATTATGCAAAATCACATCGTGAGACAATATGTACAATGATATTAAAAACAAGTCAAAATTATATCCTAACAATATTTATGCAAATAAATCAAATTGCTAGTTATTTCCCAAGATTGCGGGTCCAAAGTCTGTGTATAGCATGTGCGATCATAATATGAGAAGTAGGAGTTTCACATCACTGATTCTTTCCTATTCTATTGATGAATCTTTGTGTTTAAAAAAAAAACTGCTTACGTATGTTTTTTGTGAGTCCTAGCATGATATTATTATATATATATTAGCATATTATAGCAACTGCATTTGTAATTAACACATTAGACATTCTGTTTTATTTTTGAAATGCTAAGATCCTTGATATCTGATCTTTGGGCTCTGGTACATATTTGCAGCCTTTCATTTATTTTTGGATTGATTTGATTTTGGAAATAATGCATGTTAAAATACAACTTTACTCACAAGACTGGCCATCGGATTCTTTTACATCTTTGTGCAAAATATATTATTTTAAACTGGTTTGGATACATCCAAGTCTGTATACAGGTATTAGAGGGTACTGTTTGCTGTGTGAGTGTGTGCGTACGATTTTTATTTAATCGTTTATTTGGTAGGGACATGCACATTAATGAACACTTAACACAATAAATGTACCAAGCGTAAATATGCCGGATTTAGCTTTGAGCTACTTTCCATCCGCAGTCCCTCACATAAAACATTTAATAAAAGGACATTTACAAACATAGCAAAAACAAATACATGAAATGCAAAAAGTGCAAGAGAGCAAGAGCATCATACACGAGTATTTACCACATGGCAGTACAATATAGCAGCAACGATACATAAAGTGCAGGAGGAGATACCCCTGTGTTAAAGTGCATTTAGCGGTGATCCCACGTCTGTTTGTTTCTCAACCATTCTTTGAGTTGACCTTTGAAGCTATTGAGAGTGGGACAATCCCGTATCTCAGTTGGGAGGCTATTCCACAAAGAGCTGCCTTTAATGGCGAGGACATTTTGTCCAAAAGTGGTCCGTCTACAGTGGCCTTCACAGTCTCCTCTGGTTTCTGACCTAGTGCAGCGTCCAGTGTGTTTTTTGTGGATGAATTCCCCTAAGGGGGAGCAGTCCATGTAAACATTTATAAAAAAGACACATACTTTTAAAAGACTTAACATTGTCAAAACTCAAGAAATTGTGTTTTTTAAGGATGGTACAGTGGTGGTATGAGTAAGGCTTTCTGTCAAACACCTTGATAGCTCTCTTGTACAGCTGCTCTATGGGTTTCAGGTTCAGAAAACGACCAGTTTGTAAAACAATATTCAATGTGGGATAGAATCATACAGTGGAGGTATGACTTTGCAGCATTGACAGTTAAGAAAAAGGTCTAATTTGTTTAAAATGTTGCAAGTTGAATTTAATGGTATTGAATACTTTCTTGATATGTTTCTTAAAAGTCAAGTTCAAGTCCATTATGACTCCAAGATACTTGAAGTGGGGGACTAGTTCTATTTCTTAGACTCTCCAGAAAAACGCGGGCAAAAATCCTTGATTATGCGGGCTAAATTCCTTGATTATGCGGGCTAAAATCCTTGATTATGCGATTA